TGATATGGACAGTGAAAGCCAGGCTGATGAAGTCTCAAATGTAAATGAGAAACTTGTTTGGAACTGGAGCAAAGGTCACTTTCGTTATGCCTTAGCAAAGAAGTTGGCTGCACTGTGCCTCTGCCCTAGGTATCTGTGGAACTTTCAACTTGAGAGTGATGATTTAGGATTATGTAGTGGAAGAAATTTCTAAGCATCAACACGTTCAAGATGTGGCCTGGCTGCTTCTAAGAACCTATTCTCATACACATGAGCAAAGAAATGACTTAAAATTGGACTCATATTTAAAGAGGAAACAGCATGAAAGTTGGAAAATTTGAAGCCTGGCCATATGGTAGAAAGGAAAAAAAAAAAAAAGTCCATTTTCAGGGGAATGATTCAGGTAGGCTGCAGAAGTTTGCATAAGTAAAAAGGAGCAAGTGCTCATAGCCAGGACAATGGGGAAAACACCTCACAGACATTTTAGAGGCCTCCTTGGGAGGCCCTCCCATCACAGGTCCTGAGGCCTAGGAGGACTAAATCCCCAGTGTTAGAAGTGGGGACTAATGGGAGGTGATTGGATTATGGGGGCAGATTTAGCAGGAATGGGTACCATCCTCTTTGTACTGTCCTCACTGTAGTGAGATCTGGTTGCTTAAAAGTATGCAGCACCTTCCCCTTTCTCTTGCTCCTGCTCCCACTATGCAAGATGCCTCACTCTCCCTTTTGTCTTCTGCCATGATTGGAAATTTCCTGAGGCCTCCACAGAAGCAGAAGCCACTATGCTTCCTGTATAGCCTGCAGAACTATAAGCCAATTAAACTTATTTTCTTTATAAATCACCTGGTCTTAAACAGTTCTTTATAACAATGAGAGAACAGACAAATAAAATGACCAATATCAGGAAAGGAAGAAGATATCACTAAATATCTTATGGACTTTAAAGGGATTATAAGGAAATAATATTAACAACTTTATGTCTTCAGATGCAACAACTTAAATAAACAACAAATTCCTTTAAAAATATAATTTATCAAAATTAATATGAAATAAAAAATTAGTCCTCCTAGGCCTCAGGACCTGTGGTGGGAGGGCCTCCCAAGGAGAAAAAATTATGAGAAACACAATATTTATAAAATAAATTGACTTTATTATGAGGATTTCCCACCAAGAAATGATCAAGCCAAGATTTCCCTTATTAACTCTATCAGATAGTCAGTGAAAAGATAACTCCACTTATATACAAAATATTTTAGAAAACAAAAGAGGAGGGAACATTTTCCAACTTGTTTTATGATGGTAGCATAGCCAAAATATGAAAACCTAGCAAAAACATTTTAAAAAATGAAAATAACAGAGTAATATCCGTCATGAACACAGGCATAAAAATTATCCATAAAATATTAGCAAACTAAATCCACCAATGCATAAAAAGAATAACATGTCACAACCAAATGTGTTTATCTTAGGAATGAAAAGCTGACTTAATATTTGAAAATCTTAATAAAAATAAGACTTTCAAAAATTAGGCAAGCTGATGAAAAAATACATATGCATAAATAAATATGCAAATTCTAAAAAGCAAGACTAATAAATGGGGAGTAACTCAACCAGATATTGATACATAATATAAAGTTATAATAATTAAAACTATTTTGAGCTTTAAGAAACACAAATGGAATGGAATAGAGAATCCAGGTATAGAAATTCACAGAGGAAAGTACTACATTATAAAATAATACATATAAAATATTAAATATATGATATTGAGAAATCTAGCCTGTCATCTGTATAAAAATTAAAGTTGATTGCACACTTTCTTCTTTACTCAAGGCAAATTTTAGATGAAATATAAGTCCATTGTTAAAAGTAAAATAAAATTACTAGACAAAAACTTGGAAATTTACTTTATAATTATAGTATGGAGAAAGCTTTTCTCAAAAAGACATAAATTTAGAAGGCTTGAAAGAATGAGAAATTTGATACCTGTATTAGTTTGTTTCACACTGCTGGTAAAGACATACCCCAAACTGGGAACAAAAAGAGGTTTAACTGGACTTACAGTTTCACATGGCTGGGGAGGTCTCAGAATCATGGCAGGAGGTGAAAGGCACTTCTTACATGGTGGTGGCAAGAGAAAATGAGCAAGAAGCAAAAGCAGAAACCCCTGATAAACTCATCAAATCTCATGAGACTTATTCACTATCCCAAGAATAGCACTGGAAAGACCAGCCCCCATGATTCAATTACCTCCCCCTGGGTCCCTTCCACAACATGTGGGAATTCTGGGAGATAGAGTTCAAGTTGATATTTTGGTGGGGACACAACCAAACCATATCAATACCCCAAAACTAAAGGTCATGAAAAATAGCATAATAACATTAAAAGAGATATGACAAACTGGGAAAAATTTATTTGCAACATATAGGACAGAAAAAGATTTCAGTGCTCTAATACACAAATAGCTCTTACAAATCAATAAGAAAAAAATCAAACAAAAAAAAATACGGGATATAGTCATAAATAGGTAGTTCACTGAAAAATAAATAAAATGGCTTTCTAATCCAAGGATAAAAACACATACTGTTCTTCAAATTCTAGTGATGCAATTCAAACCTCAAATAGGAGACTTTTCTTTACTATCTCACTGGCAATGTAAAAAGGTTTTGGAACATTTGATATTGGTGTGGGTGTGTGGAAAAGATTGCCCTCACACTTTGTGAAAGTATTAATTGGTATCACCTGTCTGGAAGGCAATTTGACTATACTCATCAGTTAAAATTTACATGACTTTGACCTAAAAATTTCACTTCCAGGAATTCATTAATACATTACAGAAACAATTGCACATTTGTGCAAAGTATTGCAAGCAAGGATATTTGTAGCTGCACTTTGTAGTAGCAACAGTAAAAATAGATACACATCAATGAGGGACTGGCTAAATAGATCAAGCTTAAGATGTAATATTCTGCATTATTAAAAAACACTGAGATTGATCTATAGATGATTATATAAATCTCCAAAGTGTACCACTGGTAGATATTATAGCATGAGGCAGGACAGTTTATGACATGTGCTTTCATTAGGTAAAATAATACATAATAAATAAGTGTGTAGATATATACTTTTAAATGTGCATAAGCATATATACACAGAGAGACCTTGATATGGTTTGACTATGTCCCCACCTAAATCTCATCTTGAATTGTAACTCCCACAATTCCCATGTGTTGTGGGAGGAACCCAGTGGGAGGTGATTGAATTATGGGGGCAGGTCTTTCCTACACTCTTCTCATGATAGTGAATGAGTCTCATTAGGTCTGATGGTTTTAAAATGGGAGTTTCCCTGTGCAAGTTCTTCTCTTGTCTGTCACCATGTAAGACATGCCTTTCACCTTCCACCATGATTGTGAAGGCTTCCCAGCCACGTGGAACTGTAAGCCCAATAAACTTTTTTCTTTTGTAAATTACCCAATCTCAGGTATATTTTTATCAGCAGCGTTTAAATGGACTAATACAGACCTTTTTATTCTTTTATATTTATAGACTATTTATTTTAAAATACCCAAGAAACTGCTGACTATCACCCATGGAGAGAAGGCTGAAGAACCAAGGGTCTGGTGTAGAAGAGAGAGTTCCTGAAAATGAACATTTTTTGGAATATTTAAATATATATTTTACAATGTGTAATATTATTATTGAAAAAATCAACAATTTTAAAAGCTAATGAACTTAATAAATTAATCACTTTCTGCATCCATGAAAAGAGTAAGCAAAAATAAGTTTTTCATGTAATATGCATAGTGTAAGGAAAGTCAGTCACCTGATGAACTTGTGCTTTTTTCTGTATCTTGAAAATATTTCAGACCCTACTATGTGCTAGTCCTAATGCCAGTTGTTTAAAGGACAACAAAATCAATATTTGCCCTCAAGGAATTCACAGTTCATTGGGAAGACCACACATTCAGTCTTAGAGGAAGACTGTTGTTTCTCTGGCTTAGATCTAAAATGTTTAGTAAAGGCAGATGCCTCGAAGACCATGACAGGAACTTGCCCAATTCAGCATTCTCCTCTGTAGACCTCCCCAAGTCTCTTGGTAGTTGTCAACATCTGTGAAACAGTTGACACACCTCACCACCCCCATGTCACTGAGCTTCCAGGAATGATCCCAAGAGACATTTTATAAGAAGAGCGACTACCCATTTTGGTTCTATCCACTGAGCTTTACAGAATAATTTCAATTCCCAGAGGCATTCCACTTTTTAGCTACCTCTTTGGAATGTTCTTCCCCTTTGGTCCTTCTTTGGCTAACTCCTACCCAATATTAAATATTGGCTCAAGTGTTTCTTCTGAAAGTTTTCTCTGATTATCTGACACACAAATTCGGTCGAGTGCATTTTCCCCATGTTCCCACAGCTCTTTCTTTCTTATATTTAGCGATTTATTTGTCATGTCCTCATACTAAAATACAAATTTACTGATATGGTTTGGCTGTGTCCCTACCAAAATATCAACTTGAATTGTATCTCCCAGAATTCACATGTGTTGTGGGAGGGAACCAGGGGGAGGTAATTGAATCATGGGGGCCAGTTTTCCCATGCCAGTCTCGTGATAGTGAATGAGTCTCATGAGATTTGATGAGTTTAACAGAGGTTTCCGCTTTTCCTCCTTCTTCATTTTCTCTTGCTGTGGCCATATAAGCAGATCCTTTGCCTTCCTGCCATGATTTTGAGGCCTCCCCAGGCATGTGGAACTGTCAGTTCAATTAAACCTTTTTTTGTTCCCAGTTTGGGGTATGTCTTTATCGGCAGCGTGAAAACAAACAAATATATTTACTTAAGGTTGTACCCCTGGAGGCTGACATAGAGTAGGAACTGTAGTTTGATGATTTCAACTTTCATGATTTCACTATCCTCCCTTGGGTTCTCCCAGCTTACAGTGCCAAACTGAATTTTCAGGTTGTTTTCCCTGCATGTCCATCCCTGCTGCACCACTTCTTCAAGTCTAAGATATATACTCACTTGTCCAGGGACATCCCAGGGAAGGTAAAGTTGCCCAGGCAGATGCGATAGACAGCACTCAGAGGAATCCGCTGCAGCTGCACACAACTGAGCATGATGAAGTCATATTTGCAGATCAAGAGAGTCTTGTCCGTGACCAGCAGAATTCTCTCCTGCTCATTGTTCCAGTGGTCTATCCTATAGGAATCATCACAGCAAATAAAAATTGACGACATAGCCTGAGTCAAAAACAATGATATTCACATCTCTCCTAGCACAGAAAACAGTGACGTTTGATGAACTCAGAAGAGAGAGGGACTGAGAAATACCTAATACCACGCCACTACCCCACTCGGTCTGGTCCCATGACTAATGAAGGAGGAAAGGTGGAAGATGATGGAGAACTATTTCATCATCCCAGAGGTCAAAGATGGTTGATTATCCACGATGGAATCCATTAGGGGAATACCCAGTGTGTGTTGTGTTAGCAGTCAACTGACTCATACTTCCCCACATCTTCCCAGTCCTCTAGGAAACTTCATGGAGGACATCTTCCCTCATGGACACCAAAAATATCTCTCTGTTCTAGCTGAATCCGTACCACAAATTTACTCACCATGAACTAGCCTACGCTAATTTCCAAAGGTTGCATTGCTGACTGGAAGTATATTGGAGACTTGAACACAGGTCCACTGTCTTCCAAGTTATCTCATTCCTATTTGCAGCTCATCCTACCATATCCTTGTGGTAGAAATGTGAAACAAGAGAAGTGAGATTTTTATGAACCAGAGTAAAGTAGATAAGGAGATAAACTAGATAAGTGTTTACTGAATTAATTGGCCTCAGATGTGAGAGCCTTCCAGGACACACATGGAACATTCTGACTGAGAGTTCAGAATTTCTCCAACAGAGAGAACAGAAAGAAAAAAACAATAGCTTCTTGTTAAAAGAGAGTGAACATGGTTCATAATTCCCCCACACTGACAGTGCTTTTGCTGTCTGCTTACCATAGCCTTTAGGATACAGCACTTCGAGACTTATACTAGAATTGTTTTAGTACATGTTTTGTTTTTCCCTAAAAAACTGAAAAGGTTGATTGATGACCGATTCTTGTCTGAATCCTCACCACACAGAATCAATCTAATATGTAAATGGTATGGGCACCCCTTTCCCACCATTCTCCACACAGTAACCACAGTGTAATTCTTAACATACAAACTGAATGATGTCACTCCTCGTTCACCTTATTAAATAGCATCCCCTTGAGTTTAGGTTCATAACATGGACTACACGCCTGTATAATCCGGCCCCTACTCAGGGTCATCTCAGAGTAGGCTGAAAAGACTCACTGTTCAAGTCATGGTTCAAATGTCTTATTCAAAGAGGATTTCCTAAACTCTGTATAAACTTGGCCTTGTGGCATTTCCTCAAAGCAGACATCTTTTCCTCCTTGTGGCATTTATCACAGTTTGTAAGAAGAAATGAAGTATAAAATGCTTAGCAATGGGTACCAAGTGGACACTGACCAATCAGAATATACACCACAATACTGAAGATAGGGAAACGCTAATAAGTGCAAGCTGAGTAGGCTGAGTATCAACCCTGTGTGTGTGTATGCATGTGTGTGTGTGTATGTGTGTATGTGTGTGTTCCATGAAGGCAGAGACTGTGTCTGTTGGGCTATTCACTCCATCCCCATCGGTCAAATAGCCTGCACTAAATACATATCTATTGAGTGGATAAATAAGTTCCAGTTATCATCATTTTGGAAGCCTTTTGGTGGTGTGAGGATGGAGGTGGAAATCTGTAGCTTTATCACCTACTAACTCTGAAAATTGGACTTTTAACCTTTCTATGGCTCAGGTTCCATGTCTGTGAAATGAAGACAATACTAGTACTCACATCATCCCTTTGGGGAGAAGATTAAAAGAAATGATTCTCTGTTAGGGCTTTATAAATTAGCTGTTACTATTGCTGGAAGGCACCCGTGTCACTAAGTGACTTGGGTAACCCAATTATGTGCCACTTCACAGTGTAGTCTAATGACAGATAGGCAAGATGAAGTTAGGAGTTGAATCAATAGGAGGACATACAGGAGAAGATACAAAGGACACAAAAAGGGAGACAGAACTGAAAGAAAGAAGGAGAAGCAGAAAAAGGAAGAAAAGAAGAATGAGGTCATTAATTGAGGTCCTAGTATATGCCTGCCATTATATATTGATAAGTATTAGTTCTATATCTTACCACAACCCATTGAAGAAGGTTATGGCCAAAAACACTGAGCTAGATTACCCTAGTAAAGTTAGTGGTATTGTGAAAGGAGATGGCATAAAGTTTAAGAGAGCTGGTTTAAGTCTTGGTTCTATAGTTTCCATCCAGTGGATACTCACCTCCATACAGGGATACTCACCTCCTCCTCCTCCTCTGCTTTGAGAGAAAGAGGAAATTCTTGAGAATCTGCTTGACATTCTCAGTCTTAGTCAGAAAGAGATGAAGACTAAAATGTCTTATCAGATATCTACATAAACTTCCCTAAATAGATTGCATCTACTTAGCAGTAAGTTATAAGCTGCTGCCTAATAAACCAGACTTGTTTTAGTCTAAAAAAACTTCAGCTTTTGGTTGAATGGTTTTACTGAAAATGTCAGCACTCCATAATGAGATGTATTTTAAAAGGTAAAGGATTCAGAAAAAAAGGAGGATTCTTTTTAGGAATACAGAGTGCTATGCTCTGACACAAACTGCATAATTTACATGTCAGAAATATCTAAATTCAAGTAAACACACAGGCTTATACATAGTTTGGGGCTACCATCTCAAGTTCCTGGGTTGTATGTTTATTTATTTAGACATCAATCACAATTTTTCCCCTAAGAACTCATGGAGAACCATTAAATTGCATATTCCAAATATTAACAGCATTGAGCTTTAAGTGGCAATAACAACAAATATAGGAATAGGAATAAAAATGTACTGTGTTTGTACAGCTTAGAGAGGTTTACAAGGTCCTTGAATATCAACACTGTTCTTTAATCTTCACAAGAACCCTTTGGTCTAAATGTTATTATCCTTTTTTTGAAGACAAAGAAACTAAGGTCTACCGACCCTTAAAATGACTTGTTCAATGCTTTGCACCCAACAAACGGTGGTGCAGGGAGCTGACACAGGAACCGAGACACCATATTCAAGCCTAGTGTTTGCCTTCTCCTCAGTACTACCTACGTTTAAAAAGCGGACCCTTCAGTGTGGTGTGGAAACATGGTATAACCCATCTCCTCAAGAAGCTGATGTGATGAGACATACCATTCCCGGAATTGTTCCTTCTAGCAAACTTCTTCAAAACAACAATCAAGACTGTCTTTTTCCACCCTTGTCCTCTTTCAGTGTTCCTAGCTTGGGGAAGAACCCTTCCTCCATCCAGTTCTTCAAGCTAGAGACCTGGGAGTCATTCGGATTCACCATATTTCCTCACATTCCATGCCAAGTCCTACAAATTTTACTCCTAAGGTAAAGATGTCAACGCCACCCACCTCTCTCCATCTTCCACTTCACCATTCTAATTCAGTCTTTCATCATGTCCTGCCTAGATTATTGCAATCACTCTCGCACTAGGCTTGGGTTACTAGTCATCCAAACCTGATTCCCTTACGTATACTCCTGCTCCCTTCCAATCCCTTCACCCTACTGCAGTGAGGGGATTCTTTGGAATAAAAAAGCAAATCTCAATCTCATCTTTACTGCCCTACCCTGGTTTAAAACACTTCAACAGTTCTTGCTCTTCTGAGAAATGATCGAAACCCTTAACCTGGTCTAAAAGTTTCTGCAGGGCCAAGCTCTAACTACTTCTTCAATTCCCTCTCAGGGCAAGTCTCTCCACTCCATTTCCTTTATCTTCTTTCACATCCTTGTATTCACCATGCCCCCTCCAACTTAAAGGCCTTCATACATGTTGTTCCCTCTGCAGGCAATGTTGCTCAGGATCTCCACCTAGTTAACTCTGATAGAGCTGAGCTCCATTACCCTTTACTCCAGCAAACCTTCTCAAATCTCTGTGGCTACTTCTCTTCTTTCCGGTATACGCTTTCAGACCATGCATATGTCCCCCTTATGGTACTTATCTTGGATGCTATTTTATAGTTATTTCTATGATGACAGAATTCATGTCTGTCTCCTCTCCTATACTGTAAACTCTAAAAATACAAAGTCAGTTCTTAGCCTTGTGTCTCCAAGGTTGTGGTATCCAAAACATACTTCTGAAATGAATTACTAAAAAAACAAGCTATCCTTGCACTACACAACCTATATGCCTTGGTTCATTCTGTTTGGGGAACCCAACTTTCAGGTTTATACATTGAAATAGTACTCCACGAAATGACATATTTTCTGTCAATAAACAATCAGTAACATTGGGGAAATGTTCATGCCAAAATAGTGAGAAAGAGCAGGATATGGAACGTTACCTGTGGTATCCTTCCAATTTTGTATCAACAACAAAATCATCCACATATCAAAATGTTAACAGTGATTATTTGTGAGTGGTGGAATTCCAGGTGACTTTTATTACTTTTTATGCTTTTATTTGCCAGAGTTTAGTTTTTCTGACCACACACAAATTAAATTTTTTGATATGAGAGGAGAGGTATTTTTTAAATAAATTACCCGTCCTTAGGTTTTCAGCTTAAATGCTATCTATTCCGTGGAGCCTTACACTCACCTCCCCTATCCACAAGTGGCTAATATCTTTCCTCCCTTTAAATATGCACAAGGCCAGGCGTGGTGGCTCAGGCCTATAATCTCAACACTTCGGGAGGTCCAGGTGGGAGGCTCACTTGAGCCCAGGAGTCTGAGCCCAGCCTAGGCAACATAGGGAGACCTTGTCTGGACTAAAAGTAAAATAAATAAAAAAGTTAGCTGGGTGTGTTGGTCCACGGCTGTAGTCCCAGCTACCCGGGAGGCCGAGGTGGGAGGATCACTTCAGTCCTGGAGTTCGAGGTTGCAGCGAGCTATTATAGCACCACTGCACTCCAGCCTGGGGTACAAAATGAGACCCTGTCTCATTCAATCAATCAATCAATCAATCAATCAATCAATCTGCACATGCCTCTATCAGTGCTTCAGTTGTGGCCCTAATCACAGTTTTCTTTATATTACAGTGCTTTCTATCCTACCCATTTCTCCTCCCACGCATATTAAATGGA